GGTAGGATTTGAGAAAGTCCCCTGTGGACAAGTGGAAGCCCTGCCTACCCCTGGCTGACTGGATAAGGAAGAATGAGAGTTCTTGATAACTTGCTATTGGGAGGGGGGTATTAGTAACACCCCATCCCCTGACACCTCCCAGCAGTTTAGTTCATCTGTGGAACACACAGCGTTTCTCCCTGCCACAGGAGTTGACTGCAGATTCTTGTGTTTCAACAGCTTTTCCTGAACAGCTAATGCAACAGTAAGCTGACACCCGTCACCCCAAGTTTTTCCCAGGGCCATGTTAGTTTCTTTGTGTCAATGCTGGATTTAAAATTAAGGTCAATTTACTTACAGATGAGAAATGTGCAGAAGTGGGGGGTGAGACTGGTAGGAGAGATGAGACCACCCAGCAGGCAGTGGCCTCTGCACACAGCCAGCAGAACTGACCCTGCCCTGGTGAGAAGGGGTGGGGCAGGTGCCTTGAAGGTCTGTAGCCCTGGGTTCCTTGTAATTTCTAAGAAGATGTGAGAATGAGATGTGATGTACTGTATAAGAAATCATTATTGTTACATAACATTGTTATTTCCCCCCCACACCCCCTTCAGGGCCAAAAGACTGTTCTGTTAATTTTCATTGTTAAGTGGTTCTGGTGGTTGGATCATTATTTGCTGTGTGATCTGAGTGAGTTACTTAACCTCTCTGAATCTTGGCTTCCCCTTCTGTAAAATGGGATGAGCTCTGTTGGGGACTGCGGCAAGAATTAAATAAAATATGTGTACATGCACATGCCTAAACTTTGCAGGCTTTCAAGCTATTAGTCCCTTCCCACAGTGTTTTTAGAGCATGCTGGGTAATTTGACTATTCAAAAGCCCTCAACACCAGGACCTTAGCAAGGCATTTCCAATCTCTGAGACGAGGGTTTAGAAAGTCCCCATGGCAGCTCGGGACTTTTCCTTTTCAAGACATGATTCTAGGTCAGCATCGATACACTTTGATTCAGCCTTCTAATCACCACTGTCCCTACTTCTAGAATCATTTTAAATGGCAACTGTCTCCCCAGAAAGATTAGTGGGTACCAGGAGTACTTTCCTGGCTCTGGGTCTGGCTTTTGGTGCTGTCCTTGGCTGATGCTGTGAGGTCCTTGGAATCCAGTGCCTATTTTCAGGAGCGGGGGTTTCTCCCCTCCCTGCCTCAGGCACATTCTAGAAGCTACCTCAGCTTAGCCAGATCAGCTGGAAACTTCCACTGCCTCAGCCTGTCTTGTAACCTCATTCTTTGCCCAAGTCTCTTCCCTGATTGCCACCCTTCAGCCTGGGTCCTTCCCCTTCCAAATCCAACTCAGAGCATCCTCTGTTCCTTGTCAAGATCATTCCCTCACTCACAGCTCTCAGCTCCAGGCAAAAGCTGCCCCATGTCCATCCCTCCCTTCCTCTGTCTGGTCCCTCAGCTCCCTTGTGCTATATATAGCACAGCTGTGCCTTAGATTGTGCAGCGTTTCAAGTCTTTTTCTCCCCTCCCCCAACTCAATAGCTGAAGCTTCCAGTTGGGCCGGGAGCCCAAGGAGGGAGTTTTGAGGGGGACAAGAAAGGGTGTGCCCATCAGGACCACCCAGACTAGGGGAACCTTCCATCTGTTGTCAGGGGCCTTCCACTCCTCCAGCTCAGGACTCCTCTTACTTAACCCTTGTAGTGACCACTTGTGGGCAGGTGGGATCCCCACTTGTAGAGAATGACATAGACTGAGAGTCCCTGAAAGGCTCTGGTACACAGGGAAAATCCCCCCATTCCTCTAGGGTCGGGTAGAAAGAAACTAACATCAGACTGATTATGGAAAAGCCACAATTTAGCTCTCCTGTCCACCTGTGATGCTACAGGTGTTTTTTCACAAAACTTTTCCCTTGGCAAGCAGGAGCGGCAGCTTTCCTGCCCACCTGCCACTAGGCAGGTGCCTCTTTTTCTTCCTGCTTTTCCCTAATAAACCTGTCCTTTATATATATAAAAGGTAAAATTTAAAACACACATATGGAGAATTAGTACACTTTTTTCTTATCAGTTCATCAGATGTTTATTTGCCAGCCTAGAATGCGGAAGGGCATGAGGTTTCCCCTGCACCCTGACCAACTGTGGAGTGGCCAGTCAGCTGACACCACATGAGTCTACCCTACACTCTGGATCTACTAAGTGCATCATCACTAGAACCAAAGAATACTAATTCTCTAAATTAGACAATTCGTAACATTGTCAGGATTAAGTTCCTATTAGCATGGCCTGATCCAGAATAAAATAGTTTACTAAGCAAATTACTGATGTAGAAATACTTAAAAGTTATTAAAAACTTGGCATATTGTCCCTCGTGGTGGCACAGTGAGTTGAAGCACAGCACTATGAAGCTCTCCACAGCCACTGAAGCAAGAGTTGGATTCCCAGCCAGGGAGCTGACCCACATGGCACAGCAGACCTCTCTTGTCTTGCCCACTGCTCCCCTCAGCAGTGACTTTCAGCTAATCTGCCTGTTCTGTTCCCCACTCTGTCTTGGTGAGTCCTCTCACCCCCCCATATCTCTGGCCTGTACCCCAGTTTTCATATGCATAATTAATCTTAAAAAACCTTGGCATATTAACAAAAACGATACTATCATTTTATCTTGTTTACTTAAGTAGAACGCTACAGAAATCTGTCCCTTGAAGTTTTAGTTACTGTATGTTCTCAAGTTTTTGTAATAAAATACAATTTATTTCTTCTGTCTTAAGACTTTCTACTTTACATCGTCTCCCAAATTAGCCCAGAGCAGTAAGATTTGATCTTATCAATGCTTAGAAGTCTGGGTCATATTTTTCTCCTTGTCACATACTGTGACCTTGGGCAAGGCATTTAATCTAAGCCTCAGTTCTCATCTGTGAAATGGGAAACATCACAGTACCATTGTTAGGTTTAAATAATCTACATATAGCGATTAGCACACTCCCTGACAGATAGGTGTACAATAAATCACAGCAACTATTACTTTTTTCAGTTTTAGGCCGAGATGCTGAGTGTGTGCACATAATCTTATAAGGCGAAGTTGAGCTTCTCTGATTTGGCCCGTCCCCCCATGAAGTTGACCCTTTCTTGCCCTGTATCATCTAGACATTTCCATCCCTCTGCTTTTGGCCTTCATCATCCGTCTCTTGAGAATTCAGGCTGCTGCTGGAACAAGGAGAGGCAGCAAGGGAGAGTGTGTGTGAATGACTGGGAGGAGAGTTCCCATGGAAGCTGTGGGGTATGTGAAGGCCCTGGGGAGATGCCCTAACTTTGGGTCTCTTGTAAGCAGTGAGTGCTGGGGAGACGGCCATCAGCTGCTGCATGAAGCCCACTTAGGACAGACACATGGGCTGGAAGTCATCGAGGGGCAGGAGCAAAGGCCTGAGATGGAGTGGGGCCCTCCAGAGAGCACCCCCAATTTCTCATTTGCTTGGCAAGAAGGCACTTTTTCTTCTCCGAATCTAGGGCAGGAGGGATTAAATAGTGTCCCTAGGCTTCACTATCAATTCCAGACCCCTGGGGAACAGGCTAGGTGTACAAACTTTGGAGGGAGCTAGACCTGGGCTCAGATTACAAGAATGTCATTTACTAGGGGTGTGTCTGCGCGTGCTTATATGCCTATCAGAGGCTCATTTCCCATGTCTGTCAACAAAATACTACTTACCATACAGGACAGGGGTGTCCAAATACCGTGGACAGGCAGGCACTAGTGCAGGTCACTGATGTCTGCATGACATGAGCAAGCATTGCCCCCCAAGTATAAAGAGGTCTGAAGACGTGAGGATGTTCTAGTTGTCTCAAACTTCTGGACAAATCTCAGTTCAGAAAGTAGGCTTGAAGTGATCAAGTCCAGAGCCTCCCTCCCACAGGTGGGGCATTTTCTACACTGCACATTGTTCATAACTTGAAGGAGAACCCGGGGTCTCAACCCATTCTTGCCTCTGTATCCCCCTTCAGCTCCCCATAGCCAGGCACCTCGGGGCCAGCCACTTGTCCTTGGAAGCCAAAGATGAATGGAGTACGGACTCTCCTCCATCTGGTCTCATCACTTTCCAGAGCCTGGAGCTCAGCAGATGGGGAGTTAAAGACTATGCCCTGGTCTATCTCCTCCCCTCTGTTCCTGACTTGAAAGCTTCCATGAAGCCCGTCACTGCTTCCCTGACCCCACGGTGGCAGCTCCATCGTCAAGACTCTTGGCCAGTTCAAAACAGCAGACACTAAATCCTGGCCGGCTGCTGGTGCTCCACTGTGTAGCTGTCCCCTAGGGTAAGCAATGGCGGGGCAGCATCTGCTGCCCATGAGAGGAGTGGCAAGTCGCCTCAAGTAGAGTTTGTCTTGTGGTTAGGTTCACAAGGCCCCCCCTCCCCCCGGGAGAACTCCTGGTCTGAGGAGCAACTTTGGGCACTGGCTAGTTGGTTATCAGACAAGACATTTTGAGGTGTTTATAAGGAGTAGGGGTCACCAGCCCAGAGGCAGAGGTAAGGAGTTGGTAATTGCAGAGAACTGGAAAGAGACAGAAACAGAGGAGCATCTTAGGAACCAAGACTTGCTATGTGAGTACTCGTGTCTGAAACTTATGCTAAATCACATACAAGTCAATGTCCAAATAGTTAAGCCTTTGGCGACTCGGTCACCAGTGTAACACTGTCTGGGAAGGCTCCGGCTCCCTGGGGCCACATCCTGCTAGGCTGCTCCCACAGGAGCAACCGTGACAAACTAAGGCCAGTGGGGGTCTCAGAGCTCAAGGAGTCTCCAACCCTCATCTGGGTTTTTCCAGCTGCTTTTCTTGGCGGAAGGATCACACCCAGTGGGATGCAGACGGGGTAGGGGAAGGAGAGAAAACAGTGAAGTCAGGAGGGGTGGGGGGCAGATGTTAGGAAGATGGAGAGATGGCATAGAGGTCTGGTCATTTGAGGCGGCTACAGGCCACCTTCTCAAGTAGAGGCTGTGTTGAACATGGAAAGGGCCTGAGAGGCGACTCCTCCTTTCTGCTTGACTGAGGAAAACCGGAGTTCTGATTGTGGGGTGCCTTCTTCTAGGGCTGGGCTGAAGCCTTGGAACTACGGCTGCCCCAACACCTGGGATCATGTCTGCTAACAAAGGCTGGTGGGTGCCACCCGAGGGCGAAGACCCCGTGTCTGAGAAGTTCCTGAGGAAAACCAGGGAGTCTCCACTGGTGCCTATAGGTGAGTGGGGAAAGGGAAGGAGAAGGGCAGGGTCTTCTCTCAGAGAACAATTCCAGTCCTTTCAAAGAATGAAGCAGAGAACTCGAGTGGTCCACCCGCTAAATGACCAGGTGCTAGGAGTGAACCAATAGCGAAGGTGCCAGGGACAGCGGGAAGCATCCTTACAAGGAAACCAGGTCTGGGTGGGTAGAGGCAGCAGCCGACGGAGTGCGAGGAACATGGGGAGTCTAGAGGCACCACTACCAGGATGGGGAGGAACAGCTTGGGGTCACCTAGGGCTTCCTTCCTCGAGGCCCTGGGAAAGGAGGAACACAGCGGTCCCAAGATGCAGGAGCCAGCAGTGGTTGGAGAAGGGCCCAGAGCGGAGCTAAAGGGGTCCGGGGAGCCAGGATGGGCTGCTGTGCATGTGGGGGGGTCACTGGAGGGAGGTGGCCACTTAGACAATGGCCTTGAGAGGGCACAGTAAATGCCCTAACAAGAGCACCCCCCCACTGCCCAGCCAGCCTAGGGAGGCCTCTCAGGACAGCTGTGCCTGGCAGCTGAGCCCAGGGCACCCGCTCTCTGACCGCAGGTATAGGAGGCTGCCTGCTGGTGGCTGCCTACAGGATTTACCGGCTGAAGGCGCGGGGCTCCACCAAGCTGTCCATACACCTGATTCACACCCGGGTGGCAGCGCAGGCCTGTGCCGTGGGCGCCATCATGTTGGGTGAGTAGCTAGCTGGGCCACAGTAGGCGCAGGAGCGGCTGGCTGCAAAGGGACTGCGCCTCAATCCCTGTCCCCGACACGGCTCTGCACCATGTCCTGGGTGAAGCCCCATACTGAGACATTCTCCCATCTAATTTCCTGTCCTAGTCCTGTGCGCAAGGTGCGGTCTGTTCCCCGTTTGTCCCAGAGGTTAGAGAAAGCATGTGTTGGGACACAGGCTGGATCTCTGGCTCAAAGGCAGACAACTACCAGCTGGGTGAGAGGGCAGGCCCCTTGCCGAGCCCGTGTCATGTGGCCATGCTCCCCGCACAGGGCGCTGTGAAGTGTCCCAGACAGGGACCACAGCGCGACAGTGCTCTGTGACCTCAAAGGTTTGTCACCCCAAGCTGTGTGGGGCAGGTGTTTGTGGCAGCTGTTGAGACCATGGTGGAAAGGTGAGAGCTGGGAAGTTGGACTCTCAAAGGAACAGCAAGGGGCAGGACCCGGGGCCCCACGCCTGCACACCTGGGAGGGCAGGGCTTGGGCAAGGGCCTCGGTGCCAAGGGGTGTCTTCCCCCCCCAGGTGCTGTGTACACGATGTACAGAGACTCCACCAGGAGAGCAGCCCGGGATGCCGGGGAGAAGTAGCACTCCTGGGCCCGCAGCACTCAGTCCCACTTACCCACCCTGCGGTACTAATAAAGGAGTTCTGAGGAAAGCCTAGTCTCTTCTTCCTATGGGGGAGAGCAGAGGTGGGCTGGTGGTGGCTGACGGGAGTATTTAGAACAAAGGGTTGGAAACTAGAGTTCTGGCTCCCAACTCCAGGGCTCAGGAGACTCTTATGGGGCAGAGGAGGAGAAACAGTATACTCTGATGCCAGAACCCCAACAACTACTAGGCCACCTCAGGTCCCACCTGGAAACGGTGTGGTAGAGGCCAGAATGTGGGTGGAAGGGGTGGGGGCAGTTAAGAGGCCTCAGGGCTCATGGGAGCACTGAGTTATGAGGCAGGTGTTCCTCCCACCACAGCAGTGTCCCAGGGGGCCCAGGCAGGAAGAGGGCTGCAGCTGGGAGCAGACAGAGAAGCCTCTCAGGAGACAACATATATCCAGAACCCAAGTGCCAGGACGCAAGTGTGCTACAGGAAAGGGGGGAGAGGCAAGGATGAAAGGAACAGATCAAGGCAGAGGTCAGAACGTTCCGTTCACTTATAAACCATGTCTAAGTTCAAGCTTGTTTAAAAAAAATTCCATGAAACTCCTAAGACAAGGCCCCTCGGGGTTAACACTTTGATCCCCTGGTCCTTCCCCGAGCCCAAGTTCCACGCAGTTCCTGGGAATGGAGCCAGGCAGAGGCTACAGAAGGAACCAGGAGGCGGAATGCTTCTCCCTCAGCGGGGCTCTGGGCTGGAGACCCCCCGGTGTTAAAGAGACCCCAGCAGCTCCCCGATGATCTGACAACATGAAGTCCAAGTCACACCGGGCCCTGCAAGTCCATACTGCAGCCCTGCAGTCCAGGCTCTCACATCGGGTAGTTGAGCACCACATCCTGCTTGGCGAGCTCCAGCAACATAGGGTCGTCGAAGAACTTGCTGATGCTGACGTCTTCACTCAGGCCCTGCAAGGTCAGGGACAAACGCAAGAATCAGGCCAATGGGGCACTGACTGAGCTGGGGGGTGAGGCACACCTGTGCTTGAGTGGGAGGCTGGTCAGGGGTACAGCCAGGCCTTGCCAGGAGTCAGGCCCTCAGGCTGTCACCATGGGGTGCAGGCCTTCTTCCCACCGGCCCCATCTGGCTGCCAGTGCCCATGCAGATGGGACCGCTCTACAGCGAACAGTCATTCGCTCTCAGTCTCTGGAGCTCCAAAGGGAGAAAGGAAGAGGCTCCAACTGCTGAGACCCCGGGCGGGCGGTGGGCCTGCGGAACGCCTACCTTCCTACGGCGGGTTTTGATCATGAATTCCCGGGCCAGATGGGGAGCTGGCTGTGGCTCCAGGGGGCGGATGACAATGCTCTTGTCCAGAGGGTCACCTGGCACAATCTGAAAGGCAAAGGGATTTCAGATGGGCCAGGCAGACCTCCCCGAGCCTGGAAGAGGGCGCTTCTAGGGTGTCAGCCATCCTAGGATGTTGAGGACAGAAGAACAGAACAGGGGAGAAGACCGGCCTTGTAGAGGCAGGAGGTCAAGTTGGCCAGTCTGCACCACTTTCTCACCTGCCAATGGTGAAAGACAGACAGGGAGAAGGCCTGCCCCTGGGTATGGGTCCGCAGGTCAGTCTCAAAGCCAAAAGAGTCGATGGCCGGGATGAAAGCTTTGATGGTGTACAGAGGGGAGCCTGGAATTGGTGCATCCTGCGTCACGTGTCCCCTAAGAGAGAGAAACAAAGGCTGAGCCCCTAGATCTACAGAAGCCAAAAGCAAGAAGCAATCTGCTCGCAAATGCGCCCCAACCTCGAGCTGTCATCAGAAACAGAATAAACACAAAAACACAACAGAAGACAGGAAAGGCTGGGTGGGGCTCAACATAATTCCCTATGGAAGTCAAATGGGCAGTGACCTTTGGGCAAGGGGGGACACTGACAGGACCAGGCCACAGACATGCCACTGTGGACACTTTAGGACATTCCCTAGGAGTTCTCTGAGAAGGAATCCTAATTTGTGGTTAAGCTGGCCACTGCCTCAATCTGGTTCCTACTTGCTTCTGGAAAATCAGCTCAGTAGGTTTCAGGAATGGGGGTGGGGGGTGGGGAAGCTAATCTCCTTCCCCAGGTAGCCGAGTTCCTTCTGCTCTGCTCTTGCTCTCCACCTTCCTCCTGTGCGGGCTGGGCCGCTCACCTGCGTCTGGCCAGGACAGTGTAAACAGCAGACACACAATCGGCAGGGGCCTGCACCTCTACAAAGTAGTAAGGCTCCATCAGACGAGGGGTGGCCTGTGACAGAGCAAGAAGAAAAGGCTCCTCAGGCTGGGGAACTGGACCCCAGCTGGAGCCCTGGGCAGGACAGGGGCATCACTCACCATGAGGAAGGCCGAATAGACCACTCTCCTGGCTGTGGGGATGATCTGGCCCCCGCCCCGGTGCAGGGGCTCCTGGGCCACCACTGCATCCAGGATCTTAAACTTGACGTTTCGAATCACTGAAAAGGAGAGGGGGGAGCTGACCTGGGGCGGTTACAGGTCACGTCAAGAGCACAGAGGCAAAGCAGCAGGAGTCCCTTGCTGTACTGAGGCCACCTTATAGCCACAAAGATGGCAGAAAATCACCGTGCAAGTCGGCGTAATGGCAGAATGGCACAGATGCCAGGCCAGGTGCCACAGGCAAAGAGGCCCAGAGTTCGAGGTGCTCGCCACCCAAGAGCTCCCCCAGGAGCGTGTGTGCACTTGGCAGGCGTTTAGCTGTACATGCAGAGTAAGTCCTAAAAGTTACATCTGTTCCCACTAAGTCCAATCTTGGGGTCCGAGTGCTGGCCCCATCTTCCTCTTGATACCCACTCCTTCTCTGGAATGAGGAGCAGATTTCAGTTTAGAAATGACCTCATTTCCAGGATGTACAAGCAGTAGCACCAGGATAGGGAAGAGGGCTGAAGGGGCTGGCTCAGGGCAGGTAATGGCCCAGTGTGTCCCACGCGACTTCTGCCAGATGCCAAAGGTGCACCGCCCCACCAAACAGATCCGGACGCAAGGCCCCAGAGGACTGGGGAGCTGAGAGGAAAAGGGGAGGTGGAGGGCTGGGGGACTTACACTCATCACAGAGAGGCCCCTCTCTGGTTCCCCACTGGAAGCCTTGAACGATGCTGTCCTTCACTGAGCCAAGGAGGGCCTTGTCCACCTGCAAGGAACACGAGGGAGGGTCCCTTAGCAGAGACGCCAGCAACAGCCAAGGGATCATAGGGAGAAGGGAGGCACGTGGGTAAAGTCACTCTCCCTCACCAGAGAGAGCATACTTCCAGAAGAACACTTCCACTCAAGAGTTCAGAGACTGCCATGTGGAACCCACCAGTCCGTACCTCAGAGGGGAGGGTATCATCCACCAGGATGTTGGGGCCGGTGGCATCAGGACCAAAAGCCCAGATGGAACGGGCAGCCAGCAGATCCCAATCGTACTTGGTCTGGAAGAACTCTCCTAGCTTCTTCCTGGGCAAGGCAGAGAAAAGGAATGGTCAGACAGCTCTGGATTGCTGGCTGCCGAGGCCTGCCTTTCTGTAGGCCAGTCACTAAGCCTACCCACACTACACCCAGATGACAGCAAAGGGGGAGACCAGACTGATCCCCAGAAGGACTGTGGTACTGAGAGCCAGCAGGTGAGCTGTGGAGAGTGGGAATCAGCCATTGTCCCACCTGTTCCACGTGATCTGGACCACCTCGTTCTCTATGTCCTCTGCGAGGCCCTTCTCAAGAGGCTCAGCAATCATGGTGATCTTGTTCCTAGTCAGAAAGGACAAGGGTAACGAGAAAAGTGTGACAAAGAGACCAGCCAAGACAGTGACACCAATAAAAGCCACAGGGGGTTAACAGAAGAAGAAGCGCTTGTCTCCGTCTTTCTTCATCGGAATCTGCTGCTCTTTAAACAAGCGGGCCTTGGGGCAGGTGTTTAAGATGGTCACATAGCAGGAAAGCAGCCGTCAGAAATTCCTGGCAGTACCACAGGCAGAGAATTCCACAGCAGCCTGCCCAAAGGCACGAGAAAGAGGCCTGGGGCGAAACGCAAGCATCCTAGGCACCTCCACCAGGAGACTTGGCGGTCTTTAGCTCCCCAGCTCCTGTAGCTGTGGGAGATGGGACCAACAAGGGGACACCTGCCCCTTCCCAGCTTACTTCTTATTGGGCGTTTCAGCGAAGCACTTGAGGGAGGATGTCTCCACCACTGTCTCACAAAATGTCACGACAGGATCAGCCACCTGGGAAGCAAAATCAATCATCCAGCAAGGCCTAACTGTGTTGGAAGGACGACCTTTCACCCAAGCAACTTCTGAAAACCCCAACTACAGGCAGGGAACCTGTCTTACTCAGCGTAATGGCAAGTACAAGGGCACGTCTGTCCCATCACTTAAAAATCTGAGAACACTTAGTAGTACAATGCAAAAACCACGCTCCTGTAGGTGCGGGAGGAAATGAGGGCCTAAAGCAGAGCCCTTTGGGGTGGCTGCCAACATCCACTCTGGGGTGCTGCTGCCACCCAATGGACAGCAGCAGATCTGGAAAGAGCGCCGACTGGAGAGAGCCCGGTCCACTCTCAACCCGAGGTCTGGGTAGCACAGCTCCTTCCTCATGCACGCTTAAGCCCAGTGGGTTCTAAGTGCTGATCCTGGAGCATCACAGACTCTAAGAGAGGTATCTCCGGGTGCTCTTTCCCACACGGGGAGACTGAGGTCATGCAATGGGCCGATGAACCAAGGGGCACTCGACAATGAGTCAGGGAGAGTCAGACCCCACTTTCTCCTTGAAACCATTCCCTCTGAATCCCATTGAAACAAGGACCTTGCACAATTGTCGAGTACCAAGGAAATTGTATAATTTCCTTACAAAAGACCAAGCATGACTTTGGCTTGGGAACCTTCGCCAAGCTCATGCCAGGAGGGCACTAGAGAGGGGCTGCTGCTTTACCTTGATGTCTATCTCCGAGTACATCTTCCGCAAATCATGCATCACACAGTCCAGGTAGAGCTCTCCAGTACCCAGAATGACGTGC